TCCTGAGAGTAGGGCCCATGAAAGATGCTGTTCTCAGGAAGCTGGTGGCTGTGCCACCCAGGGAAGCAAAGGGAGGTTAGGGCAGTACCAGGCCCAGAGGGTTCTTGGGGACCACAGGGAGGAAGTGGGTTGGTCCAGATGCAAAGGATCAGGAAGCAGTGGTAACTCTGGGCCAAAAGGTTAGCCCTGGTGTCTGGGGTGTCAAGACAAGGAATGTGCCTGTACCCAGGCTAGGAGAAGAGGCGAGGCAGGGGAACTGGGAGGATGAAAGATGCTGGGGGGGGTCAAGTCATGGTGGGCACACTGGACTTACCCAGGGAAAGTGCTGGCACCAGGATGGTGGAGGCTTTGAAGCCCAAGAAGCAAAGGGAGGTGAGGGCATGGACCAGGCCCAGAGGGTTCCTGGGGACCAGGAAAGGTGCTGGCACCAGGATGCCTGGAGGCTGTGCAGCCCAGGGAAGTAAAGGGACGTGAGGGTGGGACCAGACCTAGAGGGTTCCTGGGGACCGCAATAAGGAACTGGGTTCGTCTGGATGCAAAGGATCAGAAGAAGTGGTGGCCCTAGGCCGAGAGGTTAGCCCCTGTGTCTCGTAATATAACCATTTTTAAAATATTAATTCTGCTAGTGCATGATTATGGGAGATTTTTCCTTCTTCCAATATCTTCTTTAATTTCTTTCTTCAGTGTTTTAAAGTTTTTATTGTAGAGGCCTTTCACTTCCTCTATTAGTTCATTCCAAGGGACTTGATTATTTGTTTTTGGAGGCTATCATGAATAGAATTGTTCTCAGATTTCTTTCTCAACTAGTTTGTTATGTATATAGAAAAGCTACTGTTTTTTGTAGGTTAATTTTATAACCTACTACTTTGTTGAAAGTTTTTTGTTGTATTTTGGGGATTGGGGGGGGGGCTTGTTTTATTTTGTTTTGTGTTTATTTTGTCTTTTTGAGACAGGGTCTCCCTGTACCCCAGCTGGCCTGGAACTCACTATGTAGACCAGGCTGGCCTTGAACTCACAGAGATCCACCTGCCTCTGCCTCCCCAGTGCTGGGATTAAAGGCATGCACCACCACATCTAGCTTTATTGAAAGTTTTTATGAGATCTAAGAATTTTCTGGTTTAGTCTTTAGGGTGTTTTAGGTATAGGATCAAGTAATCCATAAATAAAAATGCTTTTCACTTTTCCCTTACACTTGTTTTTTTTCTCTTGCTTTCATGCTGTAGCTAAAACTATACTGAATAAGAGTAAACAGCATGGACATCCTTGCCTCATTCCTTACTTTAGAGGAAACACTTTCTAGTTTATTAAAGTATCAATAAGCCCCATAAATTGAACTGGTCCAGACTATAAAAAATGTCTAGTCTTATCTGTTGGGGCCATTTTTCCAGTCTCACTGGTCAATTACCTGGTAATAGAACCACTCCCAGGAAGACAGGTTCACCTTAACTTATGCTAAATAGATGGGTGGAATACCTGGTGTGTTAATTAGGTAGTGAGTATTTCCTGCCTGGAACTAGCTCAGATTGCCTCAGAACTTCCAGACCAGCCACAGCCATGAAGGTTCCCATAAATCGGTCCGCTTTCCTGAACTATTCAGGAAAGCATAATTTCACCTTTTCTTCTTCATGCCTTTCTTACTAAACATGCTTTCTCTAAGGCTTTGGGCTGCCCCCAGCATCTTGTAGCTCTTCACTTTTTCTCTAAAGCTTCCTTTTTCCAGCCATGTGGCTGCCAGTCAGCCATGTGTCTGATCTCCATGCAGACTCTAAACCTGCATGACTCCCACGGCTTCCTTTCCTTCTTCCCACTATTCACCTCCTCAAGGCAGCTGCCAAGATTACCAGCCCGCCTGCCCTGAGGATTTTTCTTTAAGATTCTAATAAAATTGTAAAAGCTTCCATTTAGGTCCATTCTTAAATTCTTTTATGATGATGCCCTTTGTTATGTTCAGGCATATTCTTTCTATTTCTAGTTTCTTCAGGATTTTATCATGAATTGATGTTGAGCTTTGTCAAAGGCCTTTTATACATCATTGAGATGATCATGTGATTTCAGTAATTTTTGTGTTGTATTGCATTTATTGATCTGCATATTGAATCATCCTTGCCACTCTGGAATGAACATGGCATATGATCTTATCAATGTGTTTTTTAATTCAGTGTGTAAAAATTTTTGAAATTTTTGCATCTATGATTATCAAGAAAATTGTCTACAGTTTTCTTTCTGTTGTATCTGTATTGACTTTGGTATAAGGCTAATATTAACTTCATAGGCTGAAACTGGTAGCATTTTCCATCTCTATCTTATGGAAAATTAAGAAGTATTGATGTTAGTTCTTCTTTAAAGGTTTGGTAGTATTAGTCAGTGAATCTGTTTGGTCCTGGGATTTTCTTTTTGCTTCAGTCTCATTCTCTGTTATGATTTCATTTAATATTTTATATCATTTTTACTTAATTTCCGTAGTTCATATGTATCTAGCAATTTATCCATGTCTTCTAAATTTTCTGTTTTTAGTGTAAGTCCTCAAAATACACATGGTACTCTGGATTTCACTGGAGTCTACTGTAATATCCCATTTTTCATCTCTTATTATGTTAATTTGAATCTTCACTTTCTTTTCATTAAATTTCCTAGGGTGTTTGTCAATCTTGTTTTTTTAAAGAACCAACTATTTAATTCTATGTATTGTTCTTTTAATACTCATTTCAGTAAGTTTTACTCCAATCTTTATTTTTTCTACTTCTTTTTAAAATATACATTTTTATTATTTTATGTGTATATGTGTGCACCCTTGCTTGTCTGTATGTATACCGCATGTATACAGGTGTCTATGGAAGCCAGAAGAGGTGTCAGATTCCCCAGAACTGAAGTTACAGGCAGTTGTGCACTTCCTGATGTGGGTGCTGGGAATTATACCTGGATCCTCTGGAAGCACTCTTAACTTCTGAGCCATCTTTCCAGCCCCCTCTCTCCACTACTTTTGAGTTTGGCTTTTTCTTGTTTTTCTGAGTCTTTGAGATTCATTATTAAATTATTTACTTGAGAGCTCTCTCATTTTTTAAATTTTGTTTATTTTTATTTTATGTGTTTGAGTGTTTTGCTTTCATGTATGTAAGTGCATACATGTGTTAAGAGCATCTGGTATTTTTAACTGCTGAGCCATATCTCCAGTCCTGATCTCTCTGATTTTTAATGAAAGCACTAGTAATATAAACTCTTCTATTAGAAATGCCTTTGTATCCAAAAAGTTCTGATGAGTTACGATTTTATTTTCATTTGAATTTAGGAATTTTTTTATTTTACTTTTTGGATTCTTCAGTGACCCACTGCTCATTCAAGAGTCTATTATTTAGTCACCAAGTATTGGCATAGTTTCTGTGTTTTTTTTTTCTTGCTATTGGTTTCTAGTTTTTAACTCACTGTGATTGAAAAGATACAATAAAATATTTCAGTTCTTTTGTGTTTGTGAAGACTTACTTTGTGGCCTAGAATATGATCCTTCTCAGAGAAAATTTCATAGTCCACCAAGAAGAAAGCGTATTCTTTTTCTTTTGGATGGAATATACAGTATATGTGTTAGCTTCATGTGAATTGTGTTGATTTTTAGTATGCATGATCTATCTATAGATGAGGGTGGAGTATTGAAATCACACACTCTTTTTGTATCAGGACCTATATAAGATTTTATATACATTAGTGTTATATGAAACTTGGATCCACAACATTTAGTCCATATATATTTGGTTGTTATTGTTAGGTTCATGATAAAACCAGGACCACTAGAGATCACTCTGAGGAGAGAAAGGAAGAAATTTATTGGGATGTACGAACTGGTGCACTGCTCCCACAGGAGGAAGGGAGCAGTGGTTTCTCATGACAGCAGGCTGGATTTTGTAGGATTTTTCTTTTGGGTGTAGGGGGAGGTGAGACTATGGCAGGAAAGTGAGTCAGTAGCAGGTGCTTTAGTGCGGGGGGTGCTTAAAGAAGGAAATATTTATTTTGGCTAATGGTTTGAGGTGATACAGTCCATCATAGTAGGGGAGGCCTAGCAACAGGAACTGCTCTGGCTTTGGTAGCAGGAGGCAGCAAGCAAAAAGAGATGTATTCTGGTGATCATCGGGCTTTCTATTTTCTTCCCTTTTATTCAGTCTGGGTATCCAGCCCAAGTTTATGGTGCATCTTTCCTCCTCAGTTAAACCTCTCTGGAAATGTCATGCCCAAAAGTGTGTCTCTTAGGCCATTCTAAAATCCTGTTATACATTAATATTTTTGGATAAAATAAGAAATTAATTAATTTATAATTGTGTAAGATTGGATTTGGAAGGGGTTATTCTATGTAGTATGGTGTATTTGAGTAAAAAATGAGTATTAGACTATGGGTTGGATTTTTTTCTTTGAAGAAACAGCAAATATTATAGACTTTACAGGTCATATATTGTCTTGATCTATAGTCTTTGTTTTTATTTTCAACCTTTTAAAAATACAAAATCCATTCTTCATTTATGGGGCCCATCTTAGATAATACCTCTTTGCAGAAAGTTGACAAACAAGAGACAGACAGTAGATAAAATAATCAAAACCCAAACATTCATCAGCAGAGGCCTTTTTTGACTGTGCTTTGTTCAAACCCACAAAACTCAATAAATTTAACTTTAGTCACCAATATCATAGACTGTATACACAAATCCATCAAAATAAACATTTTGTGAGTTTAATAACTTTACTGCAAACTTGTAAAGTCATTAATTAAATTCACCTCAAGAATCACTCAGACTTTCCATAGTTACATGACTGTCTTCATTTTTACCACATAACTAATTAATTTCTCTTAATAGACCAAGCTTTTCAAAACTTCCCATTTGTCTGACAGATTGAGGTAATAAAATCTATTATTGCTGTAGCATTATTTCCATGGCATCATAAAATTTGTTTTATATTCTCTCTCCCTCTCTCTCTCTCTCTCTCTCTCTCTCTCTCTCTCTCTCTCTCTCATTGTTCAGTTGTCTAGGATGTGGTGCCATAAGTTGTCACACCTACAAAGCAGCCTCCAGAATTTGGCTAAGGGAAGAGACATATGTCAAGCTCTTCATCTGTCCAACTTTAAAAGCTTATTTCCGTTATCCATCCATTGGTACCATACAGCCTCCAAGTCTCTGAAATGTACTTGGCATCAACATGAAGATCATTTTGGTAAGAGATGGGGGAGGAGTCTTTTTAAAAATCATGGTAAAAATACATAGCATAATTACATATACCATATTAACCATTTAAATATATAATTCATTTTGGGGGTCTTTTTGAGACAAGGTCACCCTGTAGCCCCAGCTGGCCTGGAACTTGCTATGTAGACCAGACTGGCCTTGAACTTGCTATGTAGACCAGGCTGGCCTTTATCTCATAGAGATCTGCCTGCCTCCATTTCCTGAGTGTTGAGACTAAAGACATGTGCCACCACATTTTTTAAGTTTTAAATTTTTTATGAACAAAATATGAGTACAAGCTTCACAACATTTCTAACCCTTCCAGTCCCCCTCAACTCCTCCCATATCCACCACTCCCTTTCAATTTCCTGTCCCCTTCCTATTATTGTTTCATATATATGCATACATTTACAGACAAACATATATTAGATACACACACACACATACACACAAGTCCATTCATTGGTGCTCCTATGTACCTGTTTTTAAGGCTGCCCACTCTCAGGAAGTTAGTCCCTGAAGGAAACAGATTCTCCCTCCCTTAGCATCTCTTGATTCGGCAGTATTAAGTATATTCATTTTGTTATAGAACAACAAATATTTTTTATGTGGTCTGAAAATGTTTTCTGTAAAGTTGAAAGGGTGTCTAGTCATGTATCTCCAAGATTATTGTGGAATTCACAAAAAAGACAAAAGTAACACAAGGCAACACTGAAATCCCAACCTAGTTTGGGGTAGGGAGTTCTGCAATGCTCCAGCCAAACTCCACTCCCCTGTATCAGCTGAAAAGAAAAAAGAGAAAAACTCAATATCCATGGGAAATTGTTTAGAACATATAGACTAGGAGTTTTACAATCATTTAAAGTATTACATGGTAATGGGCAGAGGGAGCTTTACCCTTTGTATGAGATTCCTAGGACTCTTGAAAGAATTTCTACAAACTGGATAGAGTAAAACTTAGAAATGTATTGTCTCACATTTCTGGAGGCATGAAGTGTGTAATCACAGTGTTGACTGGTCTGTACTCCCTTCAAAAGCTTTTTCTTTTTCTTTTTCTTTACCTATTCTAGTTTGTCTTGATTTCCATCAATTCTTGGCATTGTTTTGCTTATGGCAGGCAGCATCACTTTCTATCCTCACTTCCATTTTCATATAGCCTTCTCCACATTGTTTTCAAGTCTGTCTCTCCTTATAAGGATGATTGTAACTTTGTTTTTTAACTTGATTTTGTCTGCAATTACTGTAGATGCTCCAATAATAGTGTTATATCCTGATAAACCCATGACAAGTTCAAAATGTCATAAATCAAAATGCATTCAATGCACTTAACCTACCATAAACCATGGCATAATTGCGTAGTACACTGTGGACTATCAGCTGTTTCTCTTCATGATTATGTGACTAACTGAAAGCTGCAGCTCCAGAATCATTAGAAAGTACTACATATCTCTACTCCAGAAAAACATAAAAATTCATAATTTGAAGAATAGTTTCTATTGAATGCGTATTTTGGAATAAAGTCAAAAATCTTAAGTTGAACCCTTGTAAGTCAAAGATTATCTTTATTTCCAAACAATGTCATAATTGTGGAACTTAGAGGTTAGGACTTTACTATATAATTGGTCCTCTTGTCTTTTAATTTTGTTTTTATGGGGCTGGAGAGATGGCTCAGCAGTTAAGAGCACTGACTGCTCTTGCAGAGGACCCAGGTTCGAGTCCCAGCACCCAAATGGCAGCTACGAACTGTCCTTAACTCCAGTTCCAGGGAAATCCAATGCCCTCTTCTGACTTCTGCAGCATTGCATGACACGGGTGTACTCACATACATGCAGGCAATACACTCAAACGCATAAAATAAAAATAATAATAATAAAGAAAATATTTAAATTTTTGTTTATATTGTTCATAAAATAGGTTTTTTCTTTATGCACTTATGTTATATTGAAACACGCTTTTCAACCTATACAAAAGAGGGGGAATGACAGGAGTAGGAGGGAAGTAACAGAAGATATGGGCTGATAGTAAACAGAGTGTAATGTGTATGCATGTGCGTGTTTATGATATATGTAAGAATGTTTTTGGCTATTGACTTTTAGTTTTCCTAAATGAGTATTTCTAATGTATCTGGTCTTTTCCCTAGAACTACAATATGCTAACACTGTGATGCGCTTTGATTACATCTGGCTTCGAGACCACTGCCGCTCAGCATCATGCTATAATTCTAAGACTCACCAGAGGAACCTGGATACTGCCAGTGTAGATTTATGTATCAAGCCAAAGACAATTCGTCTGGATGAAAGCACACTCTTTTTCACTTGTAAGTGGACAGAAGACTTGGACTACTTTGAGGTACTCTTCTAAAGAAGAGATTTTTATGAAAAATTGTTTGACACTTTCTAAAATAGGGAATTGTTTAAGTTAATTTTTCCTTTGCTTTGGAATCATTTTGGAGAACCTTTTGTTTTTTGTTTTTACAGTTAACATCATACTTAACTTTGAGACTGAATAATTTCTAAAATAGGAAACGTGGCAATGTTATCTACTTTCACCACTCTTTTTTGTTGTTGTTTTTTCTTTGTTTTGTTCTATGTTGTGTTTTTAAGACAGTGTCTTGTTATATAACCCTGGCTGGTCTTGAACTCACTTTGTAACCCTGATTGGCCTGAAACTAGTGATTCTCCTGTCTCAGCCTCCTGAATGCTTGGGTTACGGGTATAAGAATTATCACTGGCCATCTCACCTCTCAGGTCTGCTCAGGTTGCTAGAACTTTTGTGTGACCCAGACCTGCAAGCTCACCCAGACCTGAGGTCTTGAGTTCCCTTTCCCGAGACCTCCCCAGCTCCACCATCTCAGATCTCAGGCCTTTTCAGGTTGCTAGGATCTTCATGCACCCAGACCTGTGACCTCTCCCAGACCTGCAGTGGTTTGAGATTTCCCATTCCTGAGATATATTCATGCCAGCACTCAGGCCTGCTTGGGTCACTAGGATCTTTGTTCCCACAGACCTGTGACCTCTCCCAGACTTTCTGTAGTGAGTTTCCTTTCCCAAACCTCCCCACACTCTGCCATTACAGTTCTCAGCACTGCTTGGGTAGTTAAGACCCCTGTGTGCCCCAAACCTGCAAGCTCTCCCAGCCTGACCTATCAGCCAACTTATTCACCTACCAACTATGCAGTCCACCCTGCTGCTCCAGGAGTATGGGGCATCAGTTGTGGAACCTCTTGTCAAAAATTGCTCCTTCACTAGCTAAACGGAGACCACTTCCTACACCCTATTTGCACATCAACATAAAGTGGCCCTACTACTGAACACCAAGTACTATTCAGTGGGCCCATAGTCTGACAAGTTGGGGAAATAGCAAACAAAGATTAAAAACAACCATTCAACAAAGATGAAGATCATTTACCAATACCAAGAAACACCACCAATGACACAAGTCCAGATGTGTAGGTCTCATTGAAAAAACACTAACAACATGAGTAACCAAGATAGTATGTCTCCTCCAGAAATTAGCACCCCCATCATAATGTCTGCTGAGAATGGCAACGTAGCAAATGCACAAGACGATCATTTCAAAACAGCAATTATAAATATGTTCAAGAAACTCAAAGAGGATGTAAATAAAAGACTGGATAAAAATCATGAAAATACAGTTGAATGAAATAACTAAAACAATTCAAAACAGGAAATTAGAACTCAATAACGAGGTAGAATACCCAGTAGATAGGACCAGAAAAGAAACTCTCATATCATATAATAGTCAAAGCACTAAATGTACAGAACAAAGAAAAGATATTGAAATCTGCAAGAGAGAAAATCAAGTTGCATATAAAGGCAGGCTCATTGGAATAACAGCTGACTTTTCAGAGGGGACTAAGAAATCAGAAATGCAAGGACCCATGTCCTAAAAGTCATAAAAGAACACAAACTCCTCCAACCCAGACTATTACACCCAGCAATACTATCAGTTGTAATCAAAGGAGAAAGAAAATCTTTCCACAGTAAAAACAGATTTAAGGAATTTATATCCACAAAACCATCTCTACAAAGAATACTTGATGGAATATTTTAGTCTGAAGAGAAGATTAAACACTCTCAAGAGGGCACAAAGATTAAATAAATTATCCTGGAACAACTAACCAAAGGAGGTCTAAGAAAACAGCACTACAACACCAATATAATAGGAATTAATAAACATTGATCAATAATAACTTTCAATATTAATTATTTCAACTCCCCAGGAAGAAAACATAGACTAATTTTATTAGAAACTAGGATTTATTGATTGGCTACCTCCAAAAAACATGTCTCACCATCGATAATTGACACCACCCTAGGGTAAAAGGATGGAAAAATGTATTCCAAGCAAATGGAACTAAGAAACAAACAGGTGTGGCTATCCTAATATCTGAAAAAATAGAATTCAAACTAAAACTAGTCAGAAGAAATAGGGAAGGTTACTTCACACTCATTAAAGGAAAAATACAGCAAGACAATATTACAATCTTAAACGTATATGCACCATACACAGGGGCACTCAATTTCATAAAAGAAACTCTATTAGAACTAAAATCACACATCAACACCAACACATTGATAGTAACTAACTTCAATAGTCCACTGTCACCAATAGACAAATCAAGCAGACAAAAACTAAATAGAGAAACCCTAAATTAAATAACATCATAAATCAAATGGACCTAATAGACATCTACATAACATTCCATCCAAACCCCAATGAATACACTTTGTTCTCAGCAGCCCATGAAACATAATCCAAAATTGACCACATATTAAGACACAAAGCAAGTCTTACAAACTTAAGAAAATTGAAATATCCTATATTCTATCTGACCACAAAGAAATAAAGGTAGATATCAATAACAGTAAAAATGGGGAAAAGTATACAAACTCATAGAAGCTCATTAGACTCTATAGGCCTTGATATGTATAACATATGATTCAATATATATTAAAGTACATGAAATTGAGTGGGGGTAGTAAGGGCCTGAAGATACGGAAGGGGATTTAAATATGATCAAAATATATTGTATAAAATTCACAAAAATTCAATTTTAAAAAAGGTAAAACAACAAAGAATTATCAGTAACACTCTTCCTGAAAAGGCTTGGAACTTGCAATTGTAAGTATTTGATTTCAGTGAAAAGTATTGGGTCATAAATTTCTGGGACATCTGATTATTTTTATCAAAAATTTGTAAGTAGACCTTATTTTTGAATTTGGATTCGTGAAAGACCACAGGTTTATATGTGAAGTCACCACTACCCTTAGCTATGAAATTGTGGTAGCTTTACCTTTGCATCATTAACAACCTATAATCAAGTGTCTATGCCATCTCATTTCATTTGGGAATGTGCCCCAAAGGGCTAAATAATTGGCTTTAAATATTTGATTAGAATTAATTTTCAGCAGCATAATTTGATGTGTTAAGGTAACATTTACATTAGAGATACCAGAATGCTTGTATTATACTGCCTGTGCAATATTTATGTTTTAAAAATCTAATTTAAATATGCATTTAACCATGTGAATACCATAAATATAAGCACTTCTCTGAAGAATCTTTACTGTCCTAGTTTGCTTTCTATTGCTATGATAAAACACTCTGACCAAAAACAACTTGGGGAGGAAAGAATTCATTGCATCTTACTCTTCCAAGTGACAGCTGATCACTGAAAGAAGTCAAAGCAGGAACCTGGAGGCAGGAACTGAAGCAGAGGCCATGGAAGAATGATGCTTTCTTGGGTTGCTCTCCCAGGCTTGCTCAGCTGCCTTTCTTATATAGCCCAGGCCCATCTGCCCAGGGGTGGCACTGCCTACAGTGGGCTGGGCCCTCCCACATCACCTAGCAGTTAAGAAAATGCCTCACAGATATAGCCACAGGCCAATCAGTTGGAGGAAATTTCTCAGTTGAGGTTCCCTCTTTCCAAGTTTGTCAAGTTGACAACTTAAGCAAACCAGCACACTTAGTTTCAAGTGTTAAATGATAGGTCAGCTTGAGAAAGTACTTTTTTATGACCAAGTCTTAAATATTCATTTTAATAAATAGTTTTGGTTGTTTTTTGCTCAGGTATGAAAAGTTAGTTGATGTGTGCTTCAGGTTCTTGCAGGGTAGTAGGCTTGTCTGGGTATTTGGTGGGTCTGTGGTAGGCAGATCAGGAGTGGGGGCAAGAGCAATACAGGAGTGGTGACAGCCTGTGGATGGCCTAACAAAAGAAGCTGGAGAATTGACCTAGTCTGGGTGCAAGGGATCAGGATTCAGTGGGCAGGTCTGGACTAAAAAGATAGCCCAGAGATCTAAAACAGAAGAGCAGGAGTGGGCCTGGGCCCAGGGCTACAAGGGGGATGTGGGGGAGGGAGGTTGGAGGTGCTCAGGCTGCAGGGGAATCAAGATGTGGGCAGAATCTGATTTACCAGGGTAGTAGGAGGGCCAGTCTGTGTCAGGCAGATCAGTAGGCCAGGGGGAGGTGGGGGTGGGGCAGCCTGTGGAGGATCTAACAAACTATTCTAGAAGATTAAGCTAGCCTGGGTTAGGAAGTTAGACCAGGGATCTGAAGCAGAAGAGCAGGAGCAGGCCCGAGGCCAAGGCTCACTAGTGTCGGTTATGGATTACCTCTTTTGAGTTTTTTGTCAGTGGAATCCTATAGACCACACCGCAAGCATAACAGGCTACTAATGTTGTTCATGATTATCCTCCAGGACTTGATAGTAAAACCCTGTTGCTGAAGACACCAAATACTTGGGTCATAGAATTTGGAGAAATCAAATAGGTAGAAATCTGGATATTTTATCTGTACTGACTGATTTTCATAGTTCTACATATGCTACCAGGGGATAAAAGTAATCAGCAGTCTTACCCAGCTGTGAACCCTGTTAGCTACGGTAACAACTGGCCTAGTGAGATATGTTCACTGTTGCAATAGTGGCATCAATGTTATACGAATGAGTAACCACTTTCTGATTGGATTTAAAGCCCACTCTACAAGATGGAACTCATGCCTGATACTGTCAGCTGGATTAAAAACCCATGGCCGGCTAAGTCATAAGCCCTAGGAAATGATCCTAATACTATTATTCTACTAAATAGATAGTAATGAATGGCCCTGTACATTCTTATCTTTATGCAGATAGATTAGTACATTTATCAGCTCTTCATTAGAAAGCTTTTTGCAGTAGATGATGATGAATACTGAGACCCACAACTGGTCAACACATAGAGAATAAGAGACTGTGGAGTGCTCAGCTCTAAATGGAACATTTATATCACATCCCCTTCCCCACAAGGTTCAGAGATCATTTAAGAAGAAGAGGTGAAAAGATTGTAACAGTATTTGCCAGACACAACAGGGCTAGTTGCACACATGAACTCACAGCAGTTGTGACTGCTTAAACAAGGTAAGTGTGAGAACAAGCAGCCAAAATCCCAGCATGGATAGGAGGGTTCATGAAGTTCTATCCCTAGCTGAGGAGCTATTAGCAACTGATGGCTGCTGGGGGAGGGAGTCAGTCCTCTTCACAGATGCATCCTCTAAGAAACTACTCATGTTTCAGTAGACAGTCCTATACCCATACACATACAGACAGTACTTAGTGGACTCAGAGAGTATGTTTAAAAACAGATCACATGGTTTGAGGACAGAAAAGTGGTGGGAGGATAGGGGAGGAATTTGAGGGGAGGGAATGGAGGGTGGATTTAATCAAAACATAGTATATGTGTGTATGAAATTCTCAAACAATAAACAATTTTAAATTCATAATGTTAAAAGGATAATTGACACTCTTAACTAGTATATTGTTATAGTATTCAAAAATTTTATTTTAATACATTTTTCCCTTAATAGGGCCAGATGGTCATGTTACTAGATATGATCTGGATTGGCTGATGAAAAATAGCTATGAAGAGCAGAAACAAAAGGTTATCCAGCCTAGAATATTATGGAATGCTGAAATCTACCAGCAAGCCCAAGTTCCAGCTGTAGATTTCCACTGTTTCTTAGAAACCAATGAGGGACTGAAGAAGTTTCTGCAGAACTTTCTTCTTTATGGAATTGCATTTGTAGAAAATGTCCCTCCAACTCAAGAGCACACAGAGAAGTTGGCAGAAAGGATCAGCTTAATCAGGTAATTTGGCAGCTTTCTGAAATCCACAGTAATTAATTTCCAACACATAAGCACCAATTTAAAAATGTACATAGAAGACGGGCTATAGCGCAGTGAGAAAGTGCTTGCCTCAAATGCATGAGGCCCAGGTTCAAGCCCCAGTAGTGACCACCCCCCCAAACGTAAAGTATATGGTGACCCTTGTTTTCAATACAAACTATTTTTGTGCCCTACATAAGGGGGACTCATAGTTCTTTGAGGACAGGCTTTCTAATCTTTAAACATACATGTTAAATATAATGAAAATTTCAAAACCATTGATATGATTTTCTATCTTCAAGTAAGAGTCAACATACACTAAATACAATATCATGAGTAAGGAGAACTGGAAAGTAGTCTGAATTCTACCATGAGGTAATTATGTGACCATAGGTAAGCCCATTACTACACACACACACACACACACACACACACACACACACACACACCGTTAATCTCTCACTATCCTGTAGTCAGTTCGAAAGAAGACTGGATACTACAGTGTTTTGAAAAAAATAATAAGTGTTTAAAAACCATCTAGTTTTGGTCTTCTGAGATTCCTAGGTCTCAATTCAGAAAAGTTGTTAATACTTCATTGAAACATTATATTGTATTTAATTGGCACATTCACAGCCATTATTTTATTTTGGTCATTTTAGTAACCCTTTTAATCAAATGTTATTCCCTGTTCTACTGATGAGCACCTGATACTATTCTATAATAAATGACTTTTCCAGGATTGCTCTGATAGTAAGCAATAAAATGGAGATTTAAGTACCTTAGGTTTCCTGATCATAAATGCAATATATGGATATAGATTAATTTTCTGTAATATTAAATATAATATATTTACTTCATTATAATTAGTATTTGTCTTTTATTTAATACAATTCAGATGTAGTTCATTGTGTCACCTAAAGCATGCTGGGTCATTTGTCCTGTGCTAGTACAGTATAAACAGTAGCATTTGTGAGTGATTCATTTTGGAGTATAGTTTGAAGGCTCTGAAGTAAAAGAAATTTCTCCTTCTTCCTCTATGTTCTCTGAGACTTAGGTGTTGGGGTTGTGTTGTAAATGTACTAATTGAGACTGGGCACCCCAATTTTGACCACTTGTGGATCTCTGTAGCAGTCTCTATCTGCTGCAAAAAGAAGTCTTGAATTTGAGAGGGGTGGATGGAGCTCAGAAGAGTTGGGGGGGGGGGGGGGGGGGGGGGGAAAATGCTGTAAAAACAGTTAATGTAAGCCGGGCGTGGTGGCGCTCGCCTGTAGTCCCAGCACTTGGGAGGGTAAGGTAGGCGAATCTCTGTGAGTTCAAGGCCAGCCTGGTCTACATAGTGAGTTCCAGGACAGCTGGGGCTACAGGGAGACCCTGTCTCAAAAAGACCAAAAAAAAAAACAAAAACAGTTAATGTATGAAATTCTTAAATGATAAAATTTTAAATTAAAAAAGAAACTGCTGTTAATCCAAAAAATGAAAGAGCTTGGAAACTTATTTCAAAAGGAAGAGCAATTTGGGTTTGAAGAATTCTGGAAGCTAAATAATTAAAGTGATCTTTCCTCAGATCTAAGTCCACTGGGAAAAATAAATACAAAATCAAAATTTATAATTCTAAAGAATAAACACAACACAGCATGTCTCACTCTGCAATACAGCAAGTTTCATATTTGTAACAAAAAATATCCTTTTCCCTTTTTCTTATTCTTCTATATTCAAAAGAGAAGTGAAGACCTACAATTAATCACTTCTATGCCATATGAATAATATAGACACTCTTGTCACCTATGATAGTTTATCTAATATATCTTAAAATTAGCACTATTGTTGAAAACTAAGAGTGTTAATAAGCCAGTTGTGGTGGCACACATGAGTAGGATATGGTGAAGTGGTAGAGGAAGGAGGATGATGAGTTCAAGGCCAGCCTGCTCCACCTAGGGCTAGAAACATGACTCAGCAGTTAAGAGTGTGTACTGCTCTCATAGAGTACCTAAATTTGGTTCCCATAACCCAAATCAGGCAGCTCACAACTGCTTGTAACTCTAGCTCCGGGGGATCCAACACCCTCTTCTGGTCTCTGAGAGCACCTACACTCATGTGCGCATTTGTATACACAGATATACACGCATTTTTTTTTTTTGGACTTTTTGAGACAGGGTCTTCCTGTAGCTCCAGCTGTCCTGGAACTCACTATGTAGACCACGCTGGCCTTGAACTCACAGAGATCCACCTGCCTCTGCCTCCCGAGTGCTGGGATTAAAGGCATGTGCCACCACACCCAGAAAATTAAAAATAAAATCTTTTAAGAGTTTTAATGATAGTAATTGTTATAGAAGTAAATTAAAGTTATTACCTACTGTCTTAGTTTGTTTCTCCATTGCTGTGACAAAACACTCTAACCACTACCAACTTGGGGAGGAAAGGGTTTATTTGTCTTACATCTCCCAGGTCACAGTTCATCAGGGAGCCCAAGGTAGGAACTCGGGGCAGGAACTTGGAGCACAGGCCATGGAGCAATGTTGCTTACTGGCTTGCTCCCCTGGCCCCTGCTCAGCCTGCTTTCTTATGCAACACAGGCCCACTTGCCCAGGGGTGGCACCATCCACAGTGGACTGGGCCCTCCCACATTCCTCAACAATCAAGAAGATGCCCCACAGACATGGCCATAGGCCAGTCCAATGAAAGCAATTCCCCAATTGAGGCTCCCCCAACCCAGATGTGTCAAGTTGACACCAAAGCTATCTAGCACACCTACTATAAGCATCTACATCATGTATTTTTATGAAAGGAAGACAAACAGTGAATAGCCTTCAGTGAGAAGGCTATTAAAGTAGTCATATAAACAAAGTTCAATGATCTCTGAGCTTTCAGAATGCATTATGGTTCCAGAGTTTTCCTCTCACATCCCTAGAATATTAATTAATGACAGAATTTTTAATACTTATGTTGTGCTTAACTGTCAATTTTACTTTATAGAAATCTGGAAGGTGTGTGTGTGTGTGTGTGTGTGTGTGTGTGTGTGTGTGTGTGGTGTGTGTTTGGGAGTAATTAAAGAAAATAGAGGAAACAATTTTGAAGAAATAAATTTTCAAATAGATAACAGTTCTTCCTTGATTTCATTTGGCAGAGAAACCATCTATGGAAGGATGTGGTATTTCACGTCAGACTTTTCCAGAGGTGACACTGCATATACCAAGCTAGCTCTGGATCGGCATACTGATACTACCTACTTTCAGGAGCCCTGTGGGTAAGTATATTAGACCTTTCCAGTGTAGTATCGTTCTGTACGATGCTCTTGAGTAGTTTCTTAATTATTTTCCATTCTATTTGAATGAAGAGTATACCTACTGTTGTGGACTTAAATGACTGCCTTCTCCTAGAAACATGGCCATTTTGAAATATCTAGCTCAGTCTCCTTTTTAAAAATATTTTTATTGGTTCCTTGAGAATTTCATATGATATATTTTGATCACATTCAGACTCCCTCCCCTATCTCTACCTTCCCCCTACTACTCTTCCCAACTTCAGGTCCCCTAACATTTTGTAAAGGCCTATCAAGTCTAATCTGTGTTCCCCAAATGCTTTTGGATATGGGTCTAGCCCTTGAAGTCTGGTTAACCTACCAGGTGTAACACCAGTAAAGAAAATTGACTCTCCCTCTTCCAACAGTGGGTTAAATGGAGTGGGAAATAGGAGGGTTGGGAAGAAGAGGGTGTAAGGGGAAGGATAACTAACACTGAAGGCCTTTTGAAAAAGTCAAATTGAAACCTACTACTGTAGAAGTTTCTTTAAATATGTAGATATACAATATTTTTTTTAAAACTTTAAATGTAGTTACCCTATGATAGGAGTTCAATGTCCCTATTACACACCACAGGCTAGGAAATAAAAATGCCAGGAATAGATTTCTCTCTCTTGTGGAATTGTTGGCCAAGGAGGTCCCATACATTCTCAAACAATACTGGCCATTGTACTTTATTACTCACCAGAACTTGATGGTAAGACCCTATTGCTGAAGACAACACATATGTGAGTCATAGGACAAACAAGGGAAAAATCATGCTGGTACTAGCCTCAAAACTTATCTCTACTGGCTAGAGAGTCCTATTCATGTTACTGACAGAGGAAGGTAATCATCAACATTACTCAGCTGTGAACCCTATCAGCTGCAATAATGACTTGCCTGGCAAGATAGCTCAGTCTTCTTTAAATTTATAGAATAAAATCCTATAAACAGTTGGCCTAGGCTGCTCTGTGCTACAACTGTAACTCACTATGTAGTCTAGGCTGGCCTTGAAGAATCCTCCTGCCTCAGCCTCCCAAGCCACTACATTGGGGCTATAATTTTTTTTTCTCAAAGTAATTACAACTCACAAAAAATGTTGGCTAACTATAAGCTTTAGAAATTACATTTTTCTTGCATTTAGCTACTGTATTGTAGCAAAGGGGTCAGTCCTGCTGTTTTCAGTATGTTATTAAGTGGAGTGTGAATTTGACTTGCAAGAAGTTGGAGAAGAGGAATGGCTGAAAAGTAAAATATATATATATATATATATATATATATATATATATAGAGAGAGAGAGAGAGAGAGAGAGAGAGAGAGAGAGAGCTTTTGTAATTTCATCCAACAGTTCTCAATCAAATTCAGACCCCGTCACCCATCCACGCCTCCTCCATCCTCCCCACCAAACCTCATGTATTCCACCATACATGTGAGGTCCCATTCATTCAGGCATTTGTACCCAAATGCCCTTCATGGCTGAAAAGTAACTTTTTAAAATACTAAATCCATCATTATCAAGCCATATATTGCATATAATATATTTAACTTCCCCTACTATTTGCTACTTATTAGAGACTTCTGTGGCTATTTTGTGGTTGTTGCTCTTGCTTCTGCATGTTGATGATGAACCTGAGACAATAACATTAGCAAAGTTGAGTGCATATGTACATATGGATTTACAAAGATAGTAAGAGAGGGTGATAGTACACAACTGATTGTTATTATATTGATTTCCTTTGAGAGTTTGGAACTCAAAAATGTTTGGCCAGCAAGATGGGCTCAGCAGGTCAAGATACTGACTGCCAAGCATGATTACCTGAGTTTGATCCCTAGGATTCACATGGTGGAGGTAGAAAATCAATTCCTAAAAGTTGTTCTCTGACCTCCACATGTGGGCCATGGCATGCACATCTGCATGTGTGTGTACTTGCATACATACACATTAAATAAATAGATGTAATTTTAATCTATAAAATTTGGTTCAAGCAAGAAAGAATAAATCATCTTTTAGAGATCCTGTTCAATGTTATACATATATGGAAAGATCAATATCCCTGTGTCCTCATTCTAGAAGAGGCAGAAGAAAGAAATGGAACTGAGTTGGGGTTGAGGTCCAGAGACTGAGTCTATGAGTTCTGTTTCACTAAATTTTCCCATTCCCCCTCTCTGTTTGACCTGCCCTCACTCACTCAGTGTTTTGTGGTCTTGACACGCATTGACAAACCAACATAACACAGTTCTATTTGAATTTTGCATAGTTTATATGACATTTGGGAGGGGGTCACTTACAAAGAAATGGCTTCTCATAACCTATGTGCCATTCAAGCCTGCCTGTAGTCTCCATCAGCTTTCAAGCCCCGGGCCAGCCCGGTCTTGCAGTCTCACGTCTGTGCATGCCAACTCACCCTGCAGAGTTCGCATGGGCCACACAGGCTGGCTCGACTCTTGCTCCCCCTCTGGACCACATGCATGCTTAGCTCCCAGAGTTCCAATATATGGCCTCTGCTAAGTCTTCACGGCTAACTCTCTGCTCACTCTCCATCCCTCTTCCTAGGGTGCTCCTTATCTCAACCCTGGCTGGCTTATTCTCCATAGGCTCACTCTTTTAAGACGAATGCGTAATTTGGGGGCTACAAGTTCTATATGCAACACTGATAAACAATTGTTTTTCCCTTACTTTTATATTTTCTAGTCAATAATAAAGATTAAGTCGATTAATAGCATAGTAATAGTGGTAAAGAGTTAAGACTATGACATCAACTAGACCTTGATTTGTACCCCAGTCTGACCATGTATTATTAGCTTTTTTATATTTAGCATGTAGGTTAAAATCTATATACTTCAGTGTCCTCATCTATAAAACAAGACTAGCAATACAATATATGCATTTATAGTACTAAAAGATTAAAGTACATAATAAATTTAAAGCACTTAACATACTGCCCAACACATTAAATATTCAATAAGGATTAGTTGTGATTACCACTTTAGTCATTGTAATCGTCACTGACATCTTAATTGTTACATGCTTCTCCTTTCTAAAGTCACCTTTGTTCTAGGTGTCATCTTTTTTAGTCTATTTGGAGATTTTCCTCTATCTTCAGCCTTTCCATACCTGTTGATTTCCTCTTAACAGTTTTTATTAATTCTCCACGTTCGTATATTAGCCTAGACTGTCATCCTGTCTATAGCCTTGTTCTTATACTCCATTTTTATAGCTAAGTTGTTTTTTAATTTTTAATAACTACATGCTTAGAAGAAGTATTTCATAACATCTTTAACATATTCAGTAACACACTCCAGAGCAAGAGTACATCACTTTCACAAGTGGCTGTAAGTTTCTAGGTTCACAGTTGAATTAATACAGTTATACAATGTTGAACTCAGTATAAGCCCTGTAAGACATAAAATTGAATGAGTTTTTAACCTTTAAAAAAGATCTCCATTTTGTTTTAGAATATATTGTTCCTTGCAGAAAGACTTGTTGTTTCTCTTTTGTAGCTTTCAGTATTCTCTCTTTGTTCTGTACGTTTAGTGTTTTTACTATGATGTGCCGTGGAGAGTTTCTTTTCTGGTCCTGTCTCTTTGGTGTTCTATATGCTTCTTGTATTTGTATGGGCATGTTTTTCTTTAATTTTGTGACATTTTA